AGAGCAAAAAAATATCTACATTTTGGCGCAAACCGCAATTCAATATCTGCATTCGTTTTCAAGTTACGTAAGGTCTATGGTTTCCATAATATAGTACCTGGCCGACCTTAGTGGGACACCCTGTATATGTCGTAGGCATATTGCAAATTCAGGCTTTTTATAAACTTCCTAAGCATTTTACAAAAAGCCGGCAAAACGCGAGCATAAAATACATTTTTCGTTATGCCGATACCAATTCAGGCAAATTAATGAAATGCCGGCAAAACAAGAACAGAAAAATATATATCATGTTGTGACTAATTATTTTTAGGCATTTCACAATTTGCCAAAAACGCTGCCGTCAAAACGTGAATAGATATAAAACAAGTCGACTTTTTTCGATTGAAAAGTAGGTATTTTAGGTATTAGGTATTATCCGTTACCCTCTCCGAATTTGAAGGAAGGTATAATTTTAGTCGCTAATCACGAATCTGAAATCCGTTTTTGTCGCTCGCGTTTTGTTTCCGATATATCCATCATCAGGTCTGTTTCATCTTCTCTGAAACTAACCAAAAGTATGCAAACTAACCCAAACTAACCCGTCCACGTAATGCGTACTAGTCCTTGTATGTTAATATTGATTTTAGTAAAACAAATACGCGCTTCGCTTTTAACCAGTACACTTATGGCGATTCCCATTTGTCAATCAGTGCGCACTGAGTGTATCCCCATCTTTTTCTAAAAGCATGTAACATGGTTCCTTTGATTTCGAGGTTATGCTTTTACGACGGTAATGACTTGAGTGTTTGTTTACTGTTCGGACTCGTTTCAAGTTTCGAATGAAAAATCAGTTCGTAGTAGTGTTTTTTTTGGTATTGTATTTTGTTACGGGCAATGTAAATAATTCAGCATTAAATTTAATGCCCGGGCAATTTAGAAAGTGCCCAAAGAGATATGACAAAATGATGAATTATATAGAAAATATCAGATTGTCCACATGCCACACGGCATTATAAATGATGACCGGGTTATTATCGGTAGGTTTGGTAATGTCTGATTAAAATTGCAAACTAACCCAAACTAACCTGGTTATTATCGGTAAGTTTGGCAATGTACTCCAAACACTTGGAGTAGTCCGAACAGTTAGAGTACTCGGAATACTCCAACAGTTGGAGTAACCGGAGTATTCCGAATAGTTGGTGTACTCGAAGTACTCCCAACAGTTGGAGGTACTTTCAACAGTTGGCGTACTTCGTTCAGTAGTAGGAGTACTCGAACAGTTAGAGTACTCTGATCAGTAGGAGTACTCCGAGCAGTTACAGTACTCCGAACAGTAGAAGTACTTCGGTCAGTTGGTTTACTCTAAACAGTTGGAGTACTCCGAACAGTTGGCGGACTCCGAACAGTTGGGTTAGAGGACTCCGAACAGCTGTTATTGAACTGCCGCGTAGTAGAATGTGTGATAGATTTTCCTACCAGCGTGCAAGAAACACCCACGCATTTTTATTTCAGTCGGTTATCATTATCAAACTTACCGATAATAACCCAGTTAGTTTGGGTTAATTGGCAATTTTAATCAGACAATATCAAACTTACCTATAATAACCCGGTTAGTCTGGGTTAGTTTGCAATTTTAATCATACAAATTATACACTCCACTCCAGTATTAATCTTAATGCCCGGACAATGTGATGACATTTTCTATATAATTCATAATTTTGTCATATCCCTTTGAGCTTCTTTTAAATTGCGAAACTAACCCGTCCACGTAATGCGTGCTAGTCCTTGTATAACATTGAATTGAAAAAACAAAGCGCGCGGAGCCAGTAATAAACAAACTGCAGTTCTATATTTGTGTTAGGTAGATAGGTATAGTGTTAACTGTTCATCTATGTTTTCTAAATAAAAAGATTTACTGTAACTGTATTACATATTTATATTCAATAGTATTTTCAACTTTATTTTCACGTTTTGACGGCACCGTTTTTGGCAAATTGTAAAATGCCTAAAAATAATCAGTCATAACATGATATATATTTTTCTGTTCTTGTTTTGTCGGCATTTTATCAGTTTGCCTGAATTGATGTCGGCATAACGAAAAATGAATTTTGTGCTCGCGTTTTGCCGGCTTTTTCTAAAATGCCTAGGCGAATTATGAAAAGCCCAAATTTGCATTATGCCTATCTGTATATGGAAGGTCACCGAAAGAGTCAACCGGAACATACAGAATATATAAAATATACATAAATGCACGATATTGATTCAAGTAAATAATTAGAAGTTTCCCATAAAGAGAACTCACCGCGAAGCAATACGTCCATATGAAGCCCTGTTTGGCGTTAAACCAAAAACCCCATGCCGGCTGCATTACATCAAACGAAAAATGGGGAAAGCAAGGTGAAGATCTAATTACTGGTGAAATTTTTAAAATAATTGCTGCTGGCGGCTTCGCGGACTTTGTAAAAAAAAAATGTTTAAAAGAAGGAAAGACAAAAACAATCAAGAGCCGACTAATAAAAAGAACTGTTACCTTAGTTGCAAAGGCGGGATTTCGTGTAGCATCGGGTACTACCGACTCTCCGTACTTTAAAAAAAAAAATTAGTCGAAGAATAATACACTTGGCATTTGTGGATATACAGATCTAGAAACGGACATGGTTCCAATCAAAAAACGAGTAACACGAGCGGACACAATCTTACAAACATTATTTACACTAACCCTGAAGGAAGACTTCAAACGATTAGACTGGCAAAACAACAGGATCAATATTGATGGAGTGCGTCTATATAACTTACGATTTGCAGGCACCATTGTGATAATCGCCAGTCAAGGCAGAGACTTCATGAAACTGCTTGGACTGCAAATTGGACTTGAAATGTACTTTACGAGAACAAAAATGTCCAGGTAACTGAATAAAAAACTTTGGCTTTCCATTACTGTCGGAAGTTTTCGACTGCCTCTTATTTGCACTCGTCGTCAAGCAAAAAAAATATGGTAGAAACGTTGCGTCAATAAAGTCTTTTATTGATCGAAACCTGCTACCACTCCCAAAAAAACATCTAGATAACTGTTAACGAACAGTTTCTAGAAAATGTTCCTAAATATATTCATTCAGAAAAACCAATCTACCAGGATTTCACGAAGAATCTATCATCATCCACTTGCTCACAAGTATTATAAAAATTTTGGCAACATCATTATCTGTGGGAAGATCAGAGGAAGAATTCGGTTGGAGAGAATCCTGGCAAGTATTTTTCCGGCTCGAGAGCAATCTTGTTCTTTGTTTTGGTATGTTGCTGAAGAAGTATGTCATGAACAGTAGCTCGATTTTTTTCTTCATTGCCTTAGAGAGCACAACCACACGTATAGCATATTCTAGCTGTATCTAGAAGCGATGCAATCCAGGATCAGGAATTTTCTTTATGGAACATATTCCGAGTAGAATCGTCACACTTTCAACTTTGTGAATTGCCGAAGATAGAAGGGACGTTTTTGGCCCGGTTGTTTTCTTGTGCTTAAATTAACAAATGAAAAATATTTAGCTTATGTTAATAAGAAGCTGTGTCAAAATACTGTATTGACCCAAGTTTGACAATGTTTAGTTACCGTGATACATTTTGGGATATAGGCACATTCAAACTCGGGTTAACTCTATCCCATGGCCTAAGGTTCGGTATACTTATTGTCTATAAAATCGGACGAAGTTATTGCTTAGATATACCTTCACTATTTTAAAGAATTAACAAACACAAGCTTCGCGCTAGCAATTTTCTAAAATAGAATTATATTAGCCATTCAACCATGTATTTGATTTCTTCGCTATTCTTGAAATAGTAAGTGAAACGCTCAAAATTTTAATAACAAATTCGACAAATTATTAAGCGTGCTAGAAAATCATATGGAATTTTCATCCTATTTTCGTTTACAACTTTTGTGCATAGTTTTTTTTTCCATATCAAAATCTCGTCCACTCCCAAGACGCGCCTAGCCGTCCCGACGCCATTTTTGCTAGTTATTTGCCATTTGAACGATGAACGCAATTTTTTGTATCGAGAAGAAAATGATCGCACACTTTTCCCGATTCGATGGCTTTTGGTTGGTCTGCCAGACTAAAGATGGTCACTTTATGTCAAAATTGAGCTATTGGACTCTGGCCAAATTAGTAAAGTCGTCAATGCTATAAACTATAATAGTGTTTACAGTAGTGACTGATTCAAATATTTTTTTGCCTTATAGGAGAATCCATAATCTACAGTCCGTCGTTTTTATTCTAATACTCCAAAGGAATGTGAGCTGGTGGCTCCCTACATTAGAACGCCAATGGTCACCTGACCTCACACCTGCTTCTGCCATATGCTTCACCCCGTCGCTCCCCATTAGGAAAGTGACAGAATAAAAACGACGGACAACAATGCACAACGTAATAGTTTGAAGAGCTTCCAACGGGTCCTTGCAGCAAACAGACTGACCATCATGAATGGATACACTAATTAAAGAAAATAAAAAATAAAATTGTTCTAATTTAGAAGTTCGGAGAATGGTGGATTATTGGATGTGTCAAGTTAGTGAAATTCTACGAAATAGAAGTCAGAAAGATCTGACTGGATAATTATGATTGAGTCGTAGCAGTTATAGCAGATCCAGGTGGCTTTAATCTGAAAGCATATGGAATGATCCATAATAAAAGGAGCTTGTTAGAAAGAAAAATAATGAAGTTGTTGTGTATGTGAAACCATCTTCAATTTTTCATACAAACGTATGCACATACTAAAGCAAAAGTGTTTCCGTGACGCTTTCCGCATCGCGCCAACGTATGTTCAGATAACTACAAAAATCGTTAATACGCGGTAGACATATATTATTATGGTGTACCTATACCCACTTTTTAATTACATGTAACCATAATTTCTTTTAAAATTGTTTTTTTTTTCTCTAAATAACGATCCCATGTTACTTTTTCATGTATTCGAAAATATAATGGGCGAAAAAACGCTTGTTCTCTCATGTAATCGACACTTACCAATAACCGTTACGAAGATCATTAGCCCAAGTAGCACAGACAAAGCTCCCATTAGGATGACGTCGGCTTGTGGCTCGTCGGCGTTCCATAGCGTGTAATTGGAAGTTGTGTTTCCTCCAGTGTAATTATCGATAGAGCAGATTGGACTGGTGCTGTTGAATGGGTAGAAGGTATCGAGAGACGAGTTGTTAAATGATATCGGATATTCATATGCCACTGAAAATTAGGAATATTATTATTTTGAATACTTTATGAAGCAAGTAATTAAAAAACTAGTTCAAAGAGTGTTATATTTTGCAAAAATGAATTAACTTATTTTGAAAAGTTTGCAATTACGTTTAACAATACACAATATTTCGAAAGCAAGCAAGACTCAAATATGACGTATGACGGAGGAGTGACGAGTGCCAATGGAGTTAAATAACGGAAGAAAATTCAAATTATGATTTTAAAGAAAAATTTCGTCAATATAAGTTAATTAATGGCTTATTTTTATGGATAACGACCGCTGATAATTGATAGGTTTGCGAATAATTGGTAAACGGTCATCGGTCAATCAATAATTGTTTATTAACTCTTTTTACAATGCCTAGCTTTCGGAGCTCCTTCTTCAGGGCTATAATATTAGAAAGAATATAAAATAAATAAAAAATTAAATAAAAATTATTATAAATTGCAGTGAGTTTATTATCTGATCTTGTTTTTCATGTATTTTATCATTGATAAAAAAGTTTAATTTTTTTTAAAAACTTAATATGTAGAAGAAGAAGGAGTAAAAGGCTCCGAAAGCTAGGCATTGTAGAAAGAGTTAATAAACAATTATTGATTGACCGTTTCTCAATTATTCGTAAACCTATTTTTAGATTTAGATTTTTAATTTTTTATGGAATCACAAAATTCATGTTTGTTGCAATGATATTCAACACAATTTTAAAATGTCGCAATTTTTTTTTTCTAACAAGTTAAAACATTACTAATGATAATAGCCATATTAAAAAAACTCTCCTTAAAGTGCAAAAGTTTTATTTTATTTAAGTAAATATTAGTAGAATTTTGATATTTTTTGAGCTACCCTGTATGCTGTTTGACTTGCAACCATTCTAAGTGCACCTAATATGATTATTAGACATGCACCAACTTTTGGCCTTGTTTGTATTTTACTTGTGCTAAATGTACTAAAAAAAATCCCATATGTTGCACACTTAAGTAATGACACTGTATATATCAAGCAGAATTCTTCGCTATACATGAGTGTATCCAACAGAGCATTACCCGAGGATGTGAAAACCAAAATGTAGCCATTCTCACCATGGATAGCCAAGCAACACTAAAAGCGCTGGATTCCTATGGTTTCCTGACCACGCACGGATAGAGGGCAACGAAAAAGCAGATAGGCTAACGAGAGCTGGAGCGGCAACGCCATTTAAAGGCCTCAGGCCCAGTTTTGGAATATCGATCCAAGTGGTAAACTCAACACTGGATAAATGGTTGAAAAGACATCAATTGGCCCGTTGGAATACAACACCTGGAAAAACCACGCAAGGGCTATAATAGGAAATCCTTCAACGAAACTAACAACTTACGCGCACACAGATGAGACAAGTGATAGGGCTATTGATAGGACTATGTCACTTGAGGAAGCATCAGCACAGGATGGGGATATTCAATGGACCCACTGAATGTGATGGGAACAGTCAATGGTACCACTAAATGCAGACTATGTGGAGAGTAAGACGAAACAGCTTCCCACATCATAATATATGACTGTGTGGCCCTATCACACAAACGATACAGACTCTTCCGAACAATACAGATCGGGGATTACCACCTGGAAATCTTGTCCAAGGGCTATTAGGCCTGATACAGAGAGCTTTACTCTCGTAGGGCAAGAAGGGTTGCATGCTGCAGTGCATGGAAGTCCACAGCTCCTAGATTCCCCCTACAACCAACCAACCAACCAACCACCAACCAGCCGTATTAAGCAACGATAGGCAAGTTTAAACTACCTTGTATAAACAAATTTTGATGTCTTCATTACTTCTTTGAATAATAATACAAAAAACTACATATGTAGTGTTTTTACCTTGTAATGTTGCGCTATAGTCAAAAAAAGAAAGTGCAAGTAGGGTAGAAATGCCAGCTGGGGACCACAGTCTTCCCCTTGTTCTGGTCGCCTCCATGACTTAGTACGTCAACACCTAAAGAAAAATGAATTAATAATCCTAAAATTATTATCAGGATACTTATTCGTTAAGTACCTGCTGAATATCGCTTCGTTCGAGAAAATAAATGTTGGATGGGTAGGTAATAACTTTTTTGGGGTAATGAGCAGATTGGTTGTGAGGTAGGTTTAAATTGATAATGATTAGAATAAGTAGGTATTATAGAAAAAGTAAGTTGTTCTACAAATAAGTTATGAGGCAAGATATCGGTTGAAGTGTCACAAAAAAAAAAAGATAAAATAAAACTTAATTTGACCAAAAATGAATGTTTTCTCTTTTTTAAAATTTTCTTTAAGGTTTAGTTTGAGCTGGAATCATTTAAGCCAAAACTGGATCATTAAAATAAGGGTTCGAATAGAAAAAAAAACATGCTTAAAAGGATATCCACTCTCCTTTCGCTACCCTTATTTTTTCATGGAAATATCATTTAATAATGGAAGGAAAAATTCATAGGGAGAATCCGCAATGCGGAAAATGCCAAATAAAGTTATGGTACCTAACCCGACGATACTGGGTTTCTGCTAATTGGCTATTATCAGCTCTGCTGTAACCTGGCTAAATCTTGTTCTTTTATTAGTATAGTATCCGCAAAAAAAACCCCTTTCCTAATTTATTAACATTTTATGATTGTGATTTTCGTTTTAAGTGGTATGAGCGGATTCTGGCTACATCACTAGTTCACTACATTGGGTTATTGCTTGCTTTAGAGATAGAAGCTAGAAACAGAACTTAATTTATTGTAAGGGCATACATTCAAAACCCTGGAAAACAGTGGTCAGCCGCGATGTTAAACTAAGGGGTTTGTCATAGACAGGTTTTGTCATAGACGTGCAATTCTTGTGTGAAAAAGTATATTTCAGTTAATCAAGAGTCTCTTAATGATGTGATTGATAATCAAATTCGCAGCCCTCTGTCAACACTGACCACTGTTTGAGGGCCTTAAATCGCAGAAAAAATAAATAGCCTATGCGTAAAATAGCGATGAAGCTAGGCAAGAACAATGAAGAATAACACACTCCCTGCTGTTTTTATTAAACCTTAAGATCAGTCCGAGTCTAATATGGTAACAAGGCAAGCATGCGGCTATAGCAAATAGCAATTATCGCTGTTGTCTGCATCTCACTCGACGGATATTATACAGCCTGACTCTTTCCCCTACGTGGGGCCCACTAAAATATTCAATAACAACAGGCATCTATCGCTGTACTATTAAAATAGGCGTGGTTTATTCTCAGGTTTACTAACAAACCGCTGGAATATTCAATAATACAGCTGAATGTGACTTCGATATAATAAACTGCTTTGAGTGAAACATGGATAAATGACTGTCTTTAATAATGAAGTTATTTATCATTGCTACCGGGCCGATCGAAATTTTGGTACGACTCGCTCAATTTGAGGCAATTTTTGAGAGCTTTACAATTTTATATGTGATGATTTATGTGCCCCCACCTGTTAATGCAAACATACTTTGAGAATCTTTTTGATTTTATAATGCCACTGGAGTGTTTATATGGTAGAAATAAATCATACAATAAAAATCGTGCAAGCCGTTTTCGAGATAATTGATATGTTCCATACTTAAAACTCACTCTGATATGTATTTAAGGGGATTTTAATATACCCATGTGTTACATTACTTAAAAAAAATTTGCGCCGCATGCATCTTATTAGAAATGTAAATAACAGAATTTTAGAATTGGTCCTGCATAACAATAAATATTGTACAGTTGAATGTGCTCTAGATGCGCTGGTTCAAGAAGATAAACACCATCCTGCAATTTCTATCTCGTTTCAGTTCCCTCAATCAACAAGATATATTGAATTCTTTTGCTATGCTTTTTAGAAATTCATTTTCGAATAGCACAATCAACAATAATTTTACAAATAATATGGATGATAATATATGTACATATAGAAAACTGTTCAGAGGATGATGTTGCGGTAGCTCTCGAAAGAAATAAACCCAAATTTACCACAGGACCACATTATATCTCTGCATTTCTTATATGCACGATTGAGGTTTCGTGTTTCGTTCTGGTTAAGCCACTCACGGTACTATTTAACTTATGCCTGAAGTACCAAACAGTCCCTAGTTTATGGAAAACTTCTTCTTGTTGTTGTACAAAAAAGACGGTAGAGCGGAGATCACAAACCATAGGCCAGTCTCTCTCATTTGTAACTTCTGTAAAGTTTTATATGATATTTCCTGCTGTCAAGAACCAAATAGTTTCCCAACAACATGGATTTTTTGAATGAATATCCACTGTTACTTACCCACTTGAGGTGTATCAATATATTGATGAATCTATTGATGATAGTTCTCAAATTGATTTTTTTTATATATATATCTAGATTTATCGAAGGCTTTTGATCGCCTAGGTCATAAACTTCGTTCTTGTGGTTTTTGTGACTCACTTTGGCTCATACTTGTTTAATCGCTTTCAATATTAGGTTTCTATTAGTGGGTGCACATCTGATAAATACTCTGTCACCTCTGGCGTTCCGCAAGGCTCGATACTTGGGCCCTTATTGTTGTATTCATACATGATATTGATAGGGATCTTGATAAATAGATTTTCTGTTATATGCAGATGACATAAAGATATTTATAAATGTCCATGATTGTCTCACTTTTCAACGTAATCTGGAGAGAATCAATAATTGGTGCATCAAAAATAACTTGCACCTTAATATGGGGAAATGTAATGTGGTTTCCTTTACAACCAAGACCTTAGCTATTATTTATAATTATGTCCTTAATGATACATCTGTTTTACGTGCCGATACTTTTTGCGATTCAGCCGTAATGCTCGACTTAAAGCTTTCTTTTGTTTCTCATGTCAATAAATTACTGTCTGATGCCTCAAAAGCTATCGTACGTTATACTAGGGACTTCAACAACCTCGAGGTAGTGAAAATATTATATAACTCTTATGTTCGGTCAAAACTGAAATATGCGTCAGTAAGTCCCCCAGTTATGGTGTTCCTATCAATAATTTAGAAAAAAATCAGCGCAGGTTTTTAAAACATGCATGGTTTAAAAGTGAGGGAATATATTCTCCTCAAGGCATTTCACATAGAAGCTTATTAGATAAATTTGGTTACGTTTCTCTTAGAGATCGCCATGATTACCATTATTTGCCATCTAAGAACCCATAAAGTATCAAATCCCCGGGAAGACTTACCATACTCGTTAGCAAGTTGATGCCTATGTGCGGATAATGATTTGAAGTATAAACACATATTACTTACAAATTTTGGACGAAACATCAAATCCCTTGCAATGAATTCACTTTGTTTAAAATACTAAGTAATCTGTCGGACTGCAGTGGCATGCTTGACAAATTATATTTCTTTGTACCTTATATGAACTCGCGTAATAATACCACATTTTATTTACTTTTACCAAGAAAAAATGCATTAAAATTTTCGCCTATTTTTTCAATGTTTTCTAAATATAGCGCCCATCCTAATTTGGATTTTTTTTCTCAATCGATTTTTACAGTTAAGAAGCCGCATTAAATACTATTACCACTACTATTTTTTTTATTTCGTTTTGAAGCTGCTCCGCCTGGCAGCCTGCGTTTGCTTAATTTAATAATCATTTAATTTGATTTTGTTGGACTTAGGTTAAGTGATAGGTTTAAGTTTAAAGCCCTGGTTTCCTCGAAAGCGGCACCGTCAAATAGCGACTGTCATATAGAGGTGGAAATATTTGTCATTACGTTTACGGTGACACCGCTACCTTAAAAATCACTTGCAATGAAAAGCATTGAACAATTTTTTGTGACGTCATTCGCAGTAATATTACCAGGGCCTAACTCGGTCATGTATGTTACTGACTCCTTGCCACAACCGGAATGCCCACACAGATTGAATCATATCCAAACTACTCAAGAGTGGTCAATTTAACAGGTATAGATTTTCCAATCAAATTACAAGATATCAACAAATTCGAACAGATGAACAATATTTTCGTAAATGTATATGGTCTAGAAACGAAATTTGAAAACAATAAATTCAAATATGAAGTTGTTGGTCAAACTGAGATTTCACATAAATTTATGGTTAACTACACAAGATTGTGATGTGAAAGATGATGATGAACATAAATGTGATACAAACTCGATTAGTTGCAAGCCAAATCACCCTAAATGCTGACAAACTTTATTTTTGTGATGGCTGCTTAATATATTCCAGTTCACCATCATCTTTGCCAATGATTCACAAAATATTGTAATCACATATATGCATTAGCGCCATCAACAAATAGAAAAGTGAATAAATTTGTGAAACACGAAAACACATATCAAAAAACAAATTAAAGTTCCATTTGTGGTATATGCAGACTTTGAATTTGTTTTAAAACCTATAGAAATAATTGAGCCGAACCCTAAAGATCCTTTTACAAGTACCAAGTTTTGAGCACAACCCAGACCCTTCTGCATATCTGATAAAGTGCTCTTTTGACGATTCCTTCTTTAAATTTCAATTGTATCGGGGGGCTGATGCGGCACAAGTGTTTGTTTCCAGCAAAGGAAGCGAAATAGGTTATTTGTACAATACTTCCTAAAAGATATAAAGTCAATAAATCGCTCATCCTCCCAAGAGATTGAGGACTTCAAAAATGCCACGATATGTGGTAAATGTGAACGTACATTCAACGAGAACGTTAAAGAAGTCAAAGATCATTGCCACATAACTGGAAAAAAAAATTGTTGCCGCACATTCTATTTGTAACTTTAACTACAAACTGTTCAATTTTACTCCCATTATATGCCATAATTTAAGTAATTATGATAGCCACATTGTCATGTTTTAGAGAAATGATGTCGGCATGGGGATAAGATTAACGTAATCGCTGAAAGTAAAGAGCAGTGCACATTATTCTCAAATAGTATTTTACATTACTAGACAGGTAGAACAATTTTTACTGCCGATTGAAGGAAATGACTAGCGTGTCGTCAGGCGAGCT